TTCAGAATATTTTTTTTCTTGTTTTTCTCTTCTAAAACCTAGGCGCGTCTTATGGTCAGGTGCGTCTTATGGAGCGAAAAATACGGAAAGTATCTGTGTGCTGCCTTGTATTACACAAGGCATTCTTTAGCATTCAGCAGTGTCTGTCCCCTTTAAGGCTAGGGACGTCCTGTCTGCTAACTTGGGAGGAAGTGACCTCATCTCTTCAGACTGAAGAAATTCTACTATGCAAGTAGATGTGGGATGCTGTTCTCTCTTCATATATGGGCTTGATTAGACCCCCAAAGTCTGTAAGTACCCCTCCTATGTACTGAGGAATGTTGTGCATATTGCTAGGTAGTTAGATATGTACTCATGTCTGTTTATTCTGTTTGTATTTCAGTTTTACCATTCACGCACATTCTCACATTGATTCATATCCACATTTCATGTATTATGTCACATGTTATCAGTAAAAGATCATCGGTTATCAATCATTGACTCTTTACTATGTGGACATCAAAGGTTATACTGCCTGTTACCCTCTGTAACCCCCTCATAACTGCAGAGAAGGCAGGACAATCTGAAATAATGTTGCGTAGGGTAATTTTATGCTATCAATGTTCAAGACACCCTCTAGTGGTCAATACAAATCTAACAACATATAAGTATATAATAAGAGTGAGGTAGAGAGAAAACATTGACCTTGTGAAGAAAAACAATATAAAATATAAATTTTAATTTTCCTTCTGAGTGGACGTCCTGTGAACAGATTCTCCCATCTGATGTGTGGATCTCTGCAGCTCCTCCAGAGTTACCATGGGCCTTTTGGCTGCTTCTCTGATTAATGCTGTCCTTGCCTGGCCTGTCAATTTAGGTGAAAAGCCATGTCTTAGTAGGTTTGCAGTTGTGCCATACTCTTTCCATATTCGGATGATGGATTGAACAGTGCTCCATGAGATGTTCAAAGCTTGGGATATTTTTTTATAACCTAACTCTGCTTTAAACTTCTCCACAACTTTATCCCTGACCTGTCTGGTGTGTTCCTTGGCCTTCATGAAGCTGTTTGTTTACTAATTTTCTCTAACAAACCTCTGAGGGCTTCACAGAACAGTTGTATTTATACTGAGCTTAAATTACACACAGGTAGACTTTATTTACTAATTGGTGACTTCTGAAAGCAATTGGTTCCACTAGATTTTAGTTAGAGGTATCAGAGTAAAGGGGGCTGAATACAAATGTATGCCACACTTTTGAGATATTTATCTGTAAAAACGTTTGAAAACCATTTATCATTTTCCTTCCACTTCACAACTATGTGCCACTTTGTGTTGTTCTATCACATAAAATCCCAATAAAATACATTTACGTTTTTGGTTGTAACATGACAAAATATGGAAAATTTCAAGGGGTATGAATACCTATATCAAGGCACTGTGTAACGGAACAGGACCCCGACTGCACTAGGGTATTTCCGTTATACTCTCGCTTCCCTGTCCGAACACCATCCACAGACCACGTCCGCTGATCATGCAGGAAATAGACAGCACCAGACTCTCTTAAGACAGGAAGTAAACTGCTTTATTTTAACACAAACACAAGATATATACACAGGGGGGGAAATACAACCAGGAACAGGAAACACATCACAGGCCATCCCATCAGGAGGGAAGGACTGCCATAAACACCCCCCACCAAACAAAGACACATAATAGAACAAAGGGATACACCACATGGCAGTAGAAAATAGGGGAACACATGCATCCCATAATAGTTCTCTGGGGAGATGATACAGGGGTCCCCCCACCCCCAAAAGTCACTCCCGTTACACACTGTATATATCATGGTTTGTGGACTCTGTCTTATAGATAACTTTCCTGCAGACTAAATAATACAGTTGCAAGAAAAAGTATGTGAAAAAACCCCTTGGGATTACGTGGAGTTTTGCATGAATTGGGCATAAAATGTGCTCTGAACGTCATCTAAGTCACAACAATAGAAGAACACAGTCTGCTGAACATAATACTACACAAACATTAGATGTTGCCATGGTTTTAATTGCACATAACATGTAAACATTCACAGTTCAGGGAGGAAAAAGTATGTGGAACCTTTGAGGCCCTAGCTTAATGACTTCTCCCAGAGCTAATTGGAGCAGGAGTAAGCCAACCTTGAATCCAATCAGTGTGATGAAATTAGATGTGTTGCTGACAGCTGTCCTGCCTGCCCTTAAAAAACACACACCTGTTTTTGGTTTACTGGTTTCAAGAAGCACTGTCCCGCCCTGATGTGAACCATGCCTCGCAGAAAAGAGCTCTCAGAAGAAAAAACGATCAAGAATTGTTGACTTGCATGAAGCTGTCAAAGGGTTACAAACACATAAGTATCTCCAAAAGCCTTGAAAAGTTCATGTGTCCACGTTAAGACAGACTGTCTACAAATGGAGAAAGTTTAGCACTGTTGCTACTCTTCCTAGTGGGGGTCGTCCTGTAAAAATGACTGCAAGAGCACAGCGCAGAAATGCTGCATGAGGTAAAGAAGAATCCCAGAGTGTCAGCTAAAGACCTACAGAAATCTCTGGCACATGCTAACATTTTTGTTGACACATCTACAATAAGGAAAACATTAAACAAGAATGGAGTACATGGGAGGACACCACGGAGAAAGCTATTGCTATCCAAAAAGAATATTGCAGCACGTTTGAAGTTTGCAAAAGAGCACCTGGATGTTCCACAGCACTACTGGCAAAATATACTGTGGACAGATGAAACCAAGATTGAGTTGTTTGAGAAGAACACACAACACTATGTGTGGAGAAAAAAAGGCACAGCACACCAACATCAAAACCTCATCCCCACTGTAAAACATGGCGGAGGGAGCATCATGGTTTGCGGCTGCCAGAGTTTTTATCAAGACATTTTGCAGGAAAACGTACAACCATCTGTCCGCCAACTGAAGCTCCCGCAGAGGATGGGTGATGCAACAGGACAATGACCTAAAGCATACAAGTAATTCAACAAAAACAATGGCTGCAACAGCACAAAATACGCCTTCTGGAGTGGCCCAGTCAGAGTCCTGACCCCAACCCGATTGGAATGCTGTGGCATGACCTTAAGAGAGGGATTCACACCAGACATCCCAAGAATATTGCTACACTGAAACAGTTTTGTGAAGAGGAGTGGTCCAAAATTACTCCAGATCATTGTGCAGGTCTGATCTGCAACTACAGGAAATGTTTGGTTGAGGTTATTGCTGCCAAAGGAGGGTCAACCAGTTATTAAGTCCAAAGGTTCACATACGTTTTCCTCCCTGCACTGTGAATGTTTACATGTTATGTGCAATTAAACCATGGCAACATCTAATGTTTGTGTAGTATTATGTTCAGCAGACTGTGTTCTTCTATTGTTGTGACTTAGATGACGTTCAGAGCACATTTTATGCCCAATTCATGCAAAACTCCACGTAATCCCAAGGGGTTCACATACTTTTTCTTGCAACTGTATACACTAATTAGGGGTATTTTCACCAAAGAAATGTAACAATACAGTATGACCTAAATTTATGAAGAAAGGTTATTTATTTGCAAAATTGTATAACAGATATGAAGAACAAATCATTTTTTTGGGGGGGGGTGGATTTGTTTGTTTATTTAGCTAAAACAAAAAAAAATATTTTGATTAAATAATTCAAAAATAATGTATTACATTTTTTATTAAATACCACTAAAAGAAAGCTCTATTTGTGTGAAGAAAATGATAACTTTTTAATGGGTACAGTGTTGCATGACCACACAATTGTCATTCAAAGTGCAACAACACTGAAAGCTGAAAATTGGTCTATGCAGGAAGGGGATAAAAGTGCTCAGTATTGAAGTGGTTAAGAAACCCTATGCAACATCCGTTTTGGGCACAAATGTACAGAATAGATTTTCAGCTTGTTTTGTGTTGACTTCTTCACTCTGGATGGCTCTTATGTTATGTTTGCTAAAGCTAATGAGTTGCTAACTGCACTATCCATTAAAACTAAAATTAAACTCTGAAATGCATACAACTTGCCTGTTTTAGATTATCAAAAATTTCACCCAGATAGTACTGTAGTGCACCAGTGTACTCTTTTCCCTTTTGTTGCTAATCTTTTTCTCAGGCAACTTTGCTTAGCAGGCTCAGGTGGAATCAGATGATCTTAATAGGGCCCTTATAGGGATCTGGTGGCTGGGATTGCCCCTCCTTGAGAAGTAAAACTTTGAATGCAGTGGGATCAATATGCTCATCAATGTTATCCTCTGTGGGTCTGTTTCCCCTCTTTCCTCTTTTTCTGCCCCCAAAGACTATTTAGATGTCTGGGCAGCAGTATAACATGAGATTTTACAATGGCCGAAAATTATTCCAGACCCATAAGCATTGTTACCCTTCTGCCAAAGTGAATGTTGCTCATGAAATGCATTGAGAAAAAAACCCTGGGTTTTGGAAATAAGTTGAATTTCAAAGTGCTCTTTGATGAGATCATCTATATTACTTTAGGCTAGGCAACTGGCTCACTTTTTTCAACTGAAATACTGTAAATGGTAGCTCTCAGTTTAGTAAAATTAGGGAGTGTGGTATCTAATGGTTAAATGGTTAGCCCAGCCATTTTCAATCAGTATATAGTAGAAACCTAGGGTTCCTCCAGTGTTTGCTAAGGATCTCTTGATCAGTGATGGAATGATTTGCTACCTAATGATGCCTGTATAATTCCGACACCAATGTAATTCAGAAGAGGCAGTAAGGTGTGACCAGTAAAACTTCTCTAGTCACTTGTCAAGGTATATTCTGTAACCACAAACAACAAAGATTTTCTTTAACCGCTAGCCTACAGGGCACTTATACCCCCTTTCTGCCCAGGCCAATTTCCAGCTTTCAGCGCTGTCGCACTTTGAATGGCAATTGCGCGGTCATACAACACTGTACCCATATGAAATTTTTATCATTTTTTTGTGACAGATAGAGCTTTATTTTGGTGCTATTTAATCACCTGTGTGTTTTTTATTTTTTCTTAAACCAAAAACCACTGAAAATTTTGAAAAAAAAAAATGTTTTTTCTTGGTTTTTGTTATAAAATTTTGTAAATAAGTTATTTTTTCTCCTTCATTGATGTGCGCTAATGAGGCTACAGTGATGGGCACTGATAGGCTGCACTGATGGACACTGATAGGTGGCACTGATGGGCACTGATGAGAAGGCACTGGTAGGTGGCACTGATGGGCATTGACAGGCATCACTGATGAGCACTGATAGGCAGCACTGATAGGTGGCACTGACTGGCACTGTTAGGCAGCACTGACTGGCACTGATAGGCGGCACTGACTGGCACTGATAGGTGGCACTGATTGGCATTGATAGGTGGCACTTACTGGCACTGATGGGTGACATTGAAAAGCAGCTCAGATGGGCACTGATATGTGGCATTGCTGTGCACTGGTAGGCACTGATGTGGCACTGATGAGCACTGACATAAGGCACTGATGTACACTGACAGGTGGCACTGCTGGGGCTACACTGATCATCAGGGCACACTGATCATCAGTGCCCTGATGATCAGTGTACATGTCCCCTCCACGAAAAGCCGATTACCGGATCTCCTCTCCTCTCGAGCTGTCAGCGTGACAGCTCGAGAGGAGAGAAATGCCGATAACCGGCATTTCCCTGTTTACATGTGATCAGCTGTGATTGGACACAGCTGATCACATGACCGAGCCGTGATCGGTGATCCGTTTGTCCGAGGGACACAGCGCACCGCCGATCGCCACACTGCACGCTCCCTGAGCCGCACATGTGTAGTGAGAATGGGAGGACATCATATGACGTCCTCCCAGCATGAGAGAACCACCTTGCGCCCGTCATATTACTATATGGCGGGTGGGAGGTGGTTAATATAAGAGGGCACATCCTCCACTCACCAAAAATGTAAAAGGCCACCTTTTCCACTGACCACCAATATAATGGAGCACTATTCTGACCACCATTGTAAGGAAGTTCTTTTACACTGACTTCCAATGTAAGGAGGCAATACACTGACCACCAGTGTGAGAGAGCACTTCATGGATGACTACCGCCAACAGCTTAAAGTGAGTACCAACATAAAGAAATACTACAAATTTCAATATTAGCATTTTTCTTCTGGTCATTATTAATAGTTTAATTTCATGATTACTAAACATAATTTAATAAACATAATAAGTCACATAGATCGAGGTTGGGCAATAAATGTATCCTTTGTTATATTATTATATCTACAATTTACCTATTACACTAATGTATCATGAGCTGCAGATATAATATTTTTTTGGGTGGGGACTTCCATGAGCTCTATAAAATTATTTGAAGGGTTCCCTGTAACGTACATGTAAGATTTGAGTAGCTGAGATGTGACCTGTAGAAATATGACATTGTAGATTTAGCTCATTTCATGTTATAATAATATGTGTTCAGAATTAAGGCAGAGACATATGGTCTCCAATTAGCATCTGAAAGGGACAGAGCATTCCCTGGAAGGAGGTGACACCTAGATGCCAATAAGATTTGTCACCTTCTGGGAAATCTGGAAGGAAAAGGCTCCAGACAGTTCGGCTTCATGACACAGCGGGAGACCAGAGGTGGTTCTGATGTGTCTGGGAGCTTTGAAGTTTATCAGCAGATCAAATGAATATACTGTATTTCATCTCTCATAAAAGCTAAAATATTAATTGCAGGGAGATGAAAATACTTCCTTTCTGATTGGACACACTGTAGACTACACCTGCATGTAAAACTGTATTTGTAGCCTATGTACGATCCCAAAGAAATGCAGGAAATGGTTATGTGGCGCCAGATTGCAACAGCTGAACAGTGATTGGTACTGTCGTGATCGGACTGATGCGCTGGTATCAGAAATTCAATCCCTGACTTGGTGATTCAAACCATTCCTGGTCCAATCGACTTTGCGTATTTCAGTACCCAGAACGTCCTGTGGGCTGGTACAGGAACACCCCCAGAGTCGATTGGCCAATGGCTAATGTCCAGCCTACGTCCATATTCCCATAAATTGAGGACCTGGGATATAGACGTTGCGATTCGTACGGAGCCAGTTCTATCGACTGGCGGATTGCGGACTTTCCCTGACTTGCTCCAGTCGCAGGATAACTCTTGGTAAAAGTTTTATTTCTGTTTTTTTTATTCCCTTTTATTTTATGGTCAATAGCCAATTGTGTGTCTTCTTGTATTTTTTGTATTTTCTGTAACTTTTTATACTTTGTACATATTTTATGCACTGCCCACTTTCGGGATATTAAATCAGAAAATTAATAAGTGACTTCTGGGTACTTAAGCTTGGGCTCATATCTCCAGAGAGATTAGATTGTATTGTATTGCAGTGTCTTTATATGCTCGGTCAAGTTCATTGCCAATCTGTATGCAATTGCACTGCGTGTTGGCAGATTGCATGCAGATTGTAAAGGTAACAAGTCTGCCAGATGGAGATCTGTGTGTGTGTGGTGGCCCAGCAGGCCAGTAAAACTGTTGGGTGGTGGCAAGCTACCGTTTGTGGTGTGTCTGGTGTGGGGGTGTGTGGACAGTGGAAGAGTGATTAACATCGGGGTTCTAGCTTGTAGGATAGCTGGAGGAATCCTAGAAGGGTGTGCGATTTCTAGGCTGCTCCTCAACCCTTAGTGTGCACCAGATTGTATATAAGATTCGTGTCTGCCTGTGTATGTGGTCAGCCAGCTGGATTGGAGTGGTCTTCCTCTAGTGGTGGCCAGAGGTAGTGCGGGCTGTGAAAGTATATCGCAGCTGGTCTTATATACTTATATATATTCAGATTAAGTCCCCCTTATTCCCTCTTACCCCAAGTCACGGCTGCACGTGCACACCCCGGTTAGCTAGTCGCTGTGGTCGTGTGCATGTGGGTTGGATCCATGACATTCCCACATATTGCAAGTTAGTCACACTGTTTCTGCCAAGTGTATTACTTTATTTTTCCCCACTCATACTGTGACACTGTGATTCTAATTAGCAAATAATCGAGCAATTTCAGAATCCCAGCAACTGTGAATTATGAACAGGGATGAGGTTCGCTGCTACCATTTGGCTAAACAGTTTGCAGGTTCACCTCCTGAAATAATCAGAAAACTACAGTATAATGAAGTGCATATTGTTTGTGTATGTGGAATCTTTTAGTGAGAGCAGATATTTCTGTGTAGAGAGGAATATGAATGTTTTTCCATTTTTTTTTTTATGTTGGCATTGGCATATCCCGATATATGATTGCCCGTCTTTGTTTCAGGCAAGAATCTCAAAAATTCAAAAGAGTTGCTCACACCTAGTTATGAATTACATGATTCTTCAAAACTTTGATGAATCTACAGGCATACAACATTTTTAGTTGCAAAATGAAGATCCATGATTTGCCTGATTTGCACTTTTGTTTTATCACAATTACCACTTTGCCTGATAAGTAGGAATACACCTTCCATGTTCATGCAGTTTTTATGTTTAGCTTCAGTTTATTGCAGCTCTGTTACAGTACATGTGACCAACAAAACCCAAGGACTCTCTAAATACTATTTATGTTTTGTTGTGTAGCTATGGATACTAGAACATTCAGAGAAAAAATGATTGTGTTGGCTCTTAGCATGCTTTTTCAAATACCTGGTTGACATTGAATAGACTACATATCAACAATATATGTAAAATTATTGCAAATAGCTTTGAGATTCTAGTTGTGGTACCAAATCTGGTTAAAAAATGTTTATTAAACCATTATTTGTCATACTGGTAATCATCTAAGAAGTTTTCTATAACTTCTGCAGCCTAGAACAAACAAGGTATTGGTAGGTATTTTGAGTAAAAGCTGTTTTCTTAGAAATGTAGTAAGTTCTGTTCAGGGTCCTGGAGTCTTGAGGCTTTATAGAACTTTGGTATGGATAAAGCCCTCATTGCTAGGTCTACATCTTACTTGGTAGCCTGGCCTCATTATTGACCTCAGTAGTCCATAGGCATTTAAATATGAGAGACAACAGATGCTCAGTGCTCTCTACTGTGGGAGACTGTTGCTGGATGAAAAGGCTGATAGAAGACAAAAAAGTACTAGTGCTGCCTGTTTGTTTTGGGCAACCCATTAGCAGGCACCATACTAGTCAGGGACTGACCTTTAATTTAATTAGTGACTTAGACAAGCAGATGTATTGTTTCCTATTTTCTGCTGACTTTTTGTATAATACATTGAAAAGGTGTTGCCTTGCTAGAAAAGACTGGGCCAGAGCAACTCTAAAACTGCAGCTCTTGTGGAATGTTCCAGGTCTGACGTCCTCCCAGAACGAGAGAACCGCCTTGCGCCCGTCATTGTACTATATGGCGGGTGGGAGGCGGTTAACATCATGTGGATGCCGGGATGTGTGTGCATTGATTATCTTGGGAAGAGAAGGGACTAGGATGCACTATAGGAAGAAGACAAGCCTGTGGAGGCAGTGTGATGCTTAGGGCATTCTTCTGGGAAATCTTGGGTCCTGCTACTAATGTGGATGTTACTTTGACATGTACCACCTACATAAATATTGTTAATGATCAAACACATCCCTTCATGGAAACGGTAGTCTCTAATGGCAGTGGCCTTTTCACCACAATAACATGGTCTGCCACACTGCAAAAATGGTTCAAGAATCTTTTGAGGAACACAACAATGAGTTCAAGGTGTTTACTTGACCTCCAGATTCTCCAAATCTCAATCTAATCAAGCATCTGTGGGATGCGCTGGAAAAATAAGTCCAATCCATGGAGGCACCACTTTGCAACTTACAGAACTTAAAAGATGTACTACTGACAGCTGGAGCCATTTCTTAGTCAGATAAATGAGGTCATACATTTTTGTGTTTTTTCAAGCCAATAACTCCAGTTGTGTACACGTTGAGCCCAGATATCCAAGGTTACACCTAGTTGTAAAAGAAAAACAAAAAGAGGGCGCACCAGCCTAGTGCATTATCGTAAAAAAAATGAACAGTGGACTCAGCCTCTTCCTCAGAGCCAACACTCCAAGAGTTCTCACCTCTCTTGGAGTGTTGGCTCTGAGGAAGAGGCTGAGTCCTCGAAACGCATCAGCCAGTTGGTCATCCAGGGTTCCATCGTTGTGGACTCAGATGCTATATGGATTGAACACCACTGCTCATTGTGATGTGCCTGTGTTTTATATGTCCATTGTGAGTATGAGACCTACTTTTTTATCCTTTCAATAAATATTTTTTATGATAGTGTGCCCTCTTTTTGTTTTTCTTTTGCATTCAGTGACTTTGGACTACCCCGTTCCGTTGAGGGCAGCAAGGAGTGCATATTCCAGGACATTTATATTGTCATCCTAGACTCTGCTGAGTCCATCCCCAGCGCAGGAGTAAACTATTTAAACCTAGTTGTGACACTATACAGTATCTGTTTTTAAACGATTATAGCTTCTTGCTTCTGGAGGCTCAAGGTCATAGTAAGCCTTTTGAGAAAATCCAAATAATAGTGGGGTCACCAGTATATCTGACTGTTCTCTAGGCCAATTTTCCTTTTCATCTGTCCTTTCAAAAATGGTGAAAAACACCT